TCAAAATATAAGGAAACATCCTGTACATTTGATTTTTTTTACCAAATATCATTTCTTATTCAACTTTTCAATCGATTCCAAATAACTCCCAGGTATTATATTTACATTCGCCCCTGCATCAATTTTAAAATCTATTGATACATTTTCAATGTTAAAATTTTGTTTCCATATGTTTAATTTATTATCATATATTATATCACAAGAGCTTTAAATTTAATCGATTAAACTATCCAACATATTTCGAGCATGATTTTGCTTGGAAAATAGTTGACTGCACAATAACTTAATAAAAGCCCGAGACCGCGAAGCGAGTTATTGTGCATGAAACTATTTGCCAAAAAGCAAAATTATGCAAAAAATATTTGGATAGTTTAATCCATTTAAATTTATAGGTCGAGTGGTATACGGCTAGATTATTTCCTGAATAATCAGGATTGACTTGTTGGCGTCAATCCTATCCAAAGAGTTCTATTTATTAAAAAAATGACAGAATATTTCTATCAAAGTTCTGTCAAAAAAGGTAAACAAAAATTTAATCGCTGATAAACAAGGTCTTGTGAAATAATCACTTATTTAAACAAAATTCATTCAAAAAATGACGTTGTCTGATGGGTCTATTTTATAATGAATGAAATAATCATATATAATACCACAAGAGAAAAAAATTTGTTGGCAAAATTTTCGACTGGTATGAAAGTTTGTTGCTTGGCAATTTCGCGAATGACATTTTTGACAAAACCACGAGCCGTCAGGCGAGATGGTATCGGATAAAAAAAAACTTTTATGCACGAACGGGCGTAAAAGTGCACTTTTACGCCCGCATTTTAAGGCGTGAAGTAGTACTTTTACGCCCTAGGGCGCCTTTTATGCCCGCGGACCTGAAAGTTCCAAAATTTCAAAAATAAGCAAAAATTCGTCATTTTTTTTTTTAACTTTTTTGCATTTCTATTGCTTAGTCTAAAAAATACCAACTTTGTTCAACAAAACAAGCTTCAAGCTTTCAATTAATAAGAATAATGAAATAAGCAATAATAATAAAATTCTATTTTAAAATTGAAAATACAATTTTTACAGTTTTTAGCTTTTAGGACCGGCCTTTTTCCACAGAAAAACACAAAAGAACTATTGCCTCAACATTGAATGAAAGCTCCATAAGGTGGATGGCTAATTTTTTTTGCATTTTTCATATTAATGTATATGTCAGGAGAGTTTCTTCTACAAAGTACTGCTGCTCATTAACCTATGTTGGCCACACCAGGAAATAAAGTCCTTGTATGTTTTTTCATAGAGTCTTTTGGACTTCGAAAGTAATACATCTTCCTTGGCCTCTTCAACTGCCTCAAGAATAAACTTGGGGAGGCTATTTTACTCCATTTTCAGACGTCAGACTACCATCTAAAGAATACTATACACTTTACACTACACAGAGTAGAATAATTATTTGTTTGTATTGTTCTTGGTTGCTATAATAGTTACGTGATATTTTTGTCAACAACTGCTTTCTTGATTATTTGACAAAAACTTACGACATGCAGTGAAGGTGAAAATTTTTATTTTGAAATATTTTTGATCGATGTCATTACAAAATTAAAGATATATAATTTTTTAAATATCAAAATGAAAACATGCTTATCGTGCATAATAGTATATTATATACCTAGGTAGAGAAGTTGGTCATTATATACCGAAAGCTTTTATAAACCGAGGCGCGCAGCGCCGAGGTTTATAATGCTTGAGGTATATAATGACTTTCTCTACCGAGGAATATATAGAATTTTTTTTACTACTGCTAGTAGAAAATAAAAAATTTGTTTAAAATCTGTGTTCTAATTATTTTTTGTGAACGCCCTCTTGATAGTGCTGCCCTCTATCAACAGCTTATATAACTTCCTATGTACCTACAGAAACCTGTATTTTTTTCAAATTGACGTATGAAATTGAAATTGAACCAATAGAAACATGACAATATCCTTGCGTCATGACGTCATTTTCATTATTGACCTAGGTATTTTTTCATTATTTTCATTATTAACCTAGGGAGAGAAATTCAATTTTTTCTTAGAAAAATAAATTGAATAATGTCTATTTCTCAGGTTAGTAGTAAAAAAAATCTAATATGCACCTCGGTCAAAAAGAGCTTTAACGCCCACAGCGTGTTACACACGCTGTGGGCGTTAAAGTTGTACTTTTTGACCTAGGTGCATAAATAACTATTATACCCGATTGCACCGTCTCTCTTAACTGAGACTTAACGATAACTATCCCTTAAATTGACAGTTTTGCATGGGAAATGTCACTTTAAGGAATAGTTATCTCTAAGCCTCGGTTAAGAGAGACGGTGCAATCGGGCATTTTAGAAAATCAAAAAAATTTGAAAAAAAGTGTATTATTTCAAAATGTATTTTCACGCTGGCAACGTAGCGGGTCATTAGCTAGTTCTCTATATTTGTTTAATTGTCTTTGAAACTTGTGGACTGTATATTTTTCTTTTTGTTCAAATCAAATTCGCCAAATTCGGGGAGGAAAACGGACAACATTTTGAAACATTTCATTAATTTATTGACAGCTTGACAACTCGTTAACTAAAAACTAACTGGTGCTAAAAGATACATTGCTTTCAAAAGCAACTTGAATCAAACACAAATGTCGGGCTTTAACAATATTTATGATTAAACCGCATCTTGAACCGACTCTTATAGAATTTCTTTCATATTTTCTTTTACTTTTATTGTATATATTTGAACCATATCCTGATTGGGAGTTTTCATTGACATGACTGGTAATGGAATTGTTATTAGGGCCTAATTTCAAGGCGTCAATAAGTGTTTCTGTTTGTGTAACTTCTCTATGGTCTATTTTTTCCCAAGATAGATTTTGACATTGTCAACTTTGCAACATAAACAATGCTGCTTATTGGTTGCAAGATGTCATTTGCACGACATGCATTGTAAAACTGATGTCAACCTGCAGGAACACCCTATTTTGCGACCAATCAGGGCCAGCAGTATTGTTTATGTTGTTTATGTTTCCGACTCGAAGGACCATGAAAAGGCCAGGGAATTCCTGAACCTTTATATTCCCTACTACTCTATAGCAGTCTCACTATAGATTACAGGCAAGGTGACTTGGCCGTAGTAGGTTTTTGTAAGTAAAACAACGGTAATATTTGACTACTAGTTGAATACTGATTTTATTAGGAAAAATATCACAATTTATATTAATCTAAGTCAAAATAATTTTAATAATAATTTGCCATAATTTTAAATCTCTAACCTTGAACCTATTATGTTCCGGAATAGGAAAGGTCGACACTTTTGGTGACCTGACACGCTTGACCGTGAATATTTTATTATATTATTTCTATTGAACAATTGTTTTTAAATAAGGAAATTCCAGGCAGTTAATTATTCTTTTTTTTTCTTATGTGCATCAACTAGCCAAAGTTATCAGAAATGCTTTTGGGCACATAACAACTAGACAGTTTTCAATGTTAAAAATCTATCTTGGGAAAAAATAGACCAAGACCATAGTATACTTTCTTGTGATTTCAGTCATGCGAAAAGTTTCAATAGCATCTTTTAGAGTTTATTTCACCTTGCTTTATAATTTTATTCTGAGTTTCCTTGTCATTAGAAAATAAAACAATTTTATCTCTAACCATTTCATCAGTATTTTAAAACTCGTAATCTTCAGAAAGAAGTTTTATTTCCATTAGAAATAAATCAAACTCTTCATTACTTTTTTGACACCTGTTATAAAATAAATATCTGCTATGTAAAATATTTTTTTTAGGTTCACAATATTTTTCAATAGCTTCAATGACTTTCCTAATTTTCTTTTTGTCATTTGGTTCAATAATAGGTATGTATTAAATAGTTTCACTGTTTCTGGACCAATCAAATTCAAAAATATAGCTACTTGCATTTCTTCAGGTTCATTATTTTAGGGAGTGAATCCTACGCCTACCGGTAGGTCCTTTGTTATCCAACGATCGTACGCCTACCAGTAGGTCCTTTTTTATCCACCGATTGTGCGCCTACTGGTAGGGTAGGTCCTTTTTCGTTAATTGATCAAGCGCCTACTGGAAGGTGTTTTATTACTTTAAAATCCGTATATCCTATATCCTACCAGTCAGTAGCTCTTGCTAATGCTAAATACGTTGGTAAAATATTGTTTGTTAGTAATAGTATAGTCATTAAGAAATTCGTCCACATAAGCCTTTATTAGTATCTTAACATTTTTCCAATTTGGGCTTTAAACTTGTTGATGTTTCGAATCTGCTTCATTCGCTAGACGGCAACCTATATTCTATATTGAAAATCTTTCTGCACACACCTTGAGTTTGTTTTTGAGTCTTCGATTGCTCACTACTCTCGCCAAACCTCAAAGAGAGGATCCTGCATAAATCCACCAAAAACTTGGAAAATCATTTTCAAATATGTCACCTTCTTGTAAATGCAGGTATAGTTAGGTTAGATAGGTAGGGTAGGCGACGGATTCTTGAATTAATATGAACCTACCGGTAGGCTCAGGATTCTTTCAACAAAGAGTACCTACCGATAGGCGTTATATCATGTGGCAATTGGGGACCTACCATAATGTTTTCGCGGTATACATAAACGGTAGGCACACAATCAATGAAACAAACAGCACCTACCGGTAGGCGCAGAGTTCACTCCCATTATTTAAAGCTGTTGCATCCATATAAATATCATAGACTTGTTTCAAGTTTTTCCAATTTTCCAATAGGTTTCCACATAAAGTCAGAAGATCCGGCGTAATAAAATTAACTGCCGCCATTTTCACAGCTTCTGTAGGTAGGTACTTCTATTATTTTGAAATTAATTTTCGATAACCGACTGCACCATGTTCTTTTAGCTCTTTTCGCCTCATTTTGCAGTCTTCAAATCCGTAGTTACCTCTATAGTATCTTAGAGCATATAGCTTTCAGTAGATGATAAGGAGGTCAATTTTTGGGATTCCCATTTCAAAGACTAGGTTTATTGAAAAATATCTATTTACCTACACCTACCAGGTCCACATAATACAAAAATACAAAAATTATTTCATAATACACCTACATCTACTTTTCAGTCATTGCGTTTTCTTGCATGGGACGAAAGACTACGTTATCGAATATCTCTTCTTCGATAGACGCATCATCCTGCACAAAAATGTAAAAAAAATACATTATAGTATTTAATAATCTAAATAATATCGACTTACCGATATCAATATTTTTTCTTGTTCCAATTTTTCCTTGTATATTCTTTCAAAAAAATGACACTAAAATATGTTTTGAAATTACATTCACATCATTTATTTCAACCAAAAATTCTTACCATATACAATCCATAGATGATTAATATTAACAAAATTACTCCTAATATTGGCGCCAGTAAATATACCCATAAAGGTACCATTACTAAACGTTGCACGAAAACCAAAAATACTGCTGTGGCTCCGACCCTGTAGAAGTGTTTTACTAAATATTTATAATAATCAACATACGTTGAATCCTACCTTTCAGATTCAGTCGTTGAAGTTCTCTGATATGCCACAGGCACAAAAGCTATTAAATCCTTCAGAGTTAATTCATTTTTATATTTTAAGCCTAAAGTTCACAAAACATTAGCAACATTTACAATGCTAAAGGAATAATACTTACCAAGTAATTTAGCATTAATGGACGTTTCTATTTTGAATACTGCTAGTTGGTCAGAAGAATACAAGTATTCACCCTTGCAAGAAAACTTGAAGCATCTGGTGTCAGAATCACAACTTACTATTACAGTTCTATTAACGGCAATATTTAGATTATCGAAATCAGACAGTGAAATTTTATTTTCAATGAGCGATTTGGTGCAGGATATCTGAATATCACCAACTTTACCCTAAAAATGAATGGAAGAGATCATAGGCGATAATGCTTGAAATTAGAATCATATAGGTACTGAAAGATTTTCCCCTTTAATGATAATATCTGTGATTGTGATTGAATAATGTGATTAAATAGGATATTCTATGCCTAGGTAGAGAAGTTTGTCATTACATAGCGAGCGCTTTTATAACCTGATGCGCGACGTGCCGAGGTTTATAATGCGCAAGGTATGTAATGACTTTCTCTACCAAGGAATATACAGGGTGTCCCACGGGGTTTAACCCAGGTGATTACTTCAGAACGCGTCATCGAATGTTCCACTTTGTAATTTAATTCATTTTCTACTTAACTATTATACCATAATTCATAATGCCTAGTAAAAGATACGGTAATATCCCCTATCACAACCTGGGGGCATTATAAGCGGGCGTTATGATCTATAGCGCCCGCTTATAATGCCCTCAGGTGTTTATGGGTATATTAATTTTTTTCGTTTCCTAAGGTACAGGTAGAACAGGTACTCGTGTCAAAATACAATACAATATTCTGTCACACAAGTTTTATTGATTTTGTTTGATACTAAATTGATGAAAGAACATTGTGTTCAGTAGAAAATAAATCATTCTATGCACGGGCATTTTTAGATTATAATGCCTTTCAAGCGAAATATATCCTTCGGGCCAGAGGCCCTCGGGTTAGTTTCGCCTTCTGGGCATTATAATCTACATAATCCCCTTGATACATGATACATAAATAGCTACTTCTAATATAGGTACCATAGTCATAATTGAATTTGAAAGAATGTATTTAACGTCATGTCATGAAATAAATGTATTTAACGTGTGAAATCCTAATCATTACCTTTCGTCACTAGTGACGGAAATTAACGTTATGGGATATTCTATCACTAGTGATGAAAATGACGTTTTCGACTAAGGTAAAATATGACGAAAGTTGTTTATTTTTTGATGGTCATAGAAAAAATCTATTGATGTCAACCATATATTTTTTTAAAACAATTGAATTTTTTTGACAGTTGATTTTTTTTCAACAATGAATTTTTTTTACAATTTTCTTGACAATTAATGACATCCTGGCACACATTCTCTTTGTTTGACAATAATTATTAAATATTATTGACACACGAATTTTTTTTTTGACAATTGAATTTTTTTTGACAATTTTTTTTTTTAAGTTAAAATTTTTTGTCAGTTGAAATTTTTTTGACAAAATTGACACGTCAAAAATTATTTATTTTTTTTTGACAAAGAATATTGGAACTAAGTCAATCGTCAATCATATTTATTTTTTGACAGCTACATGTCAAACATAGGTTTTTGAAAATTAATTGTTTTTAACCAATAATAAATTGACACCTTGAACATTTTTTTGTTTGACAATTAAATATTTTTGACAATAAATTTTTTTTTCAGTTGATTTTTTTTTTGACAATTGGAATTTTTTTGACAATTGAATTTTTTCATTTTTACACGTCAAGATTTTTTTTTTTGACAACCATTAATCATATTTATTGTTTGACAACTGATTTTTTGTGACAAATTAATTTTTTTGTCAGTTGAACAACTGACAACTAATTTGCGCTCCTGTCATTCGACTGTTGAAGTTAGAAACAAAACGAAATGTCCCCAGTGTCAAATTGTCTAAAAAGTAGAAAAAAACTGACAGTGAAAAATTTTCAAAATTAAAAAAAAATAACACTCTTGTCTTTATGACAATTGACTACTGTGAAAATTGACATGGTGTCAAACTGTCTAGAAAAAAACTGAAAAGTGATATAGTGTCAAATTTTCAGCGAAAATTCTTTGGAAAAAAAAACTTACAAAATGTCCCTGTAAAAATTAACATAGTGTCAAAATTGTCTAGAAAAAAACTGAAAAAATTTCTAGAAAATTGACAAAGTGACCCTGTGGAAATTGACAATGTGTCAAATTATCTAAAAAAAAAAACTGACATTGAAGAAAAATGACAGGTCAGACTGATTAATTTAAAAAAAAAACTGATTTGGACAATTTTTCAAAACATTGACGAAATTTACATTGTGTCAAATTGTTTAAAAAAAAAATGACAGTGTCGAACTGCTTAACAAAAAAAAACTGACATTGAAAAACAAATTACTAAGTGTCAAATTGCTTGATATAAAAAAAAAACTGATTTTGACAGTTTCTCAAACATTGACAAAAGACAAAAGTGACTAATTATTGATTTAAAAAAACTGCACGTCACTGTGCTTATCAAATTTCCAAAAAAAATTTTTTTTTTCCAATTTGAGGTTATTTTTTCAAAAATATGGCCGAATTCGTAATTCTCGACCTTGAAAACATAGAGAACGACATATCGCGTCGCGTTTTACGTCTATGCGGCAAGTTGGTACTTACCGCACGGACGCGAAAAACGTGTCGTTTCCGACATTTTTGGGGCCAAGAACACGAACTTGTGATTATTTTTTGAAAATGAGCTTAAGTTTGACTTTTTTTACCCTGAAAATGACGAATTTGAGATTATTTTTTGAAAAATAATGCCGAATTCGTTATCCTCGTACCTGAAAACATCGAAAACGATATATCGCGTCACATTTTAAGTCCGTGCGGTAAGTTGGTACAGGGTTATTGGTTATAAATGTCACCCCCCTCTATCTTTTTTATTTGACATTTTAGAAAAAAGTGTCCCAAATAAAAGTTTTATGGTTAAAATTAAATTTTTTGAAAAACTCACTTTCGCATATACAGGATGTTTTAGAAAAGCTGGTCGCGCTCCAACTTTCTTATTTTAAATAAAATACCCTGTATATTATTAAATATCCGGATTCTACATAAAATTTTGAGCAGATTCCATGTGATATACCCTATACCTAAGTTCAACTGTTTTGGAAATATTGATGGTTGAAAATTGACTTTTTGCAACTTTGACAGGCTGTAAAACCTAAACGGTTAATTTTAGAGCAAAACCGATCTTATGTTTTTATCTTGGATTTTCATAAACTATCAGTTGACACTGATATTTGACATACCAACTTTGAATTTAATCCATGATTAAAAATTCAAATTAAATTTAATTTCCGGTTAAATTCAAAGTTGGTGTCAAATCATAGCTTATCAAAATCTAAGAAAAAAACGTAAGCTCGGTTTTGCTCTAAGATTAACCGTTTAGGTTTCACAGCCTGTCAAAGTTGCAAAAAAGTTAATTTTCAACTGTCAATATTTCCAAAATAGTTGAACTTAGGTATAGAGTATATCACATGATATCTTCACAGAATTTTACGTAGAATCCGAATATTCAATAATATACAGGGTGTTCCAATTAAAATAAGAAAGTTGGAGCACGACCTGCATTTCTGAAACACCCTGTATATGCGAAAGGGAGTTTTTCAAAAAATTTAATATCAACCATAAAACTTTTATTTGGGACACTTTTTTCTAAAATGTCAAATAAAAAAGATAGAGGGGGGGTGACATTTATAACCAATAACCCTGTACTTACCGCACGGAAGCAAAAACATACCGTCTCTGAGGTTTTACCGAAGAACACGAATTTGAAGTTATTTTTTTTATTATGAGTCTAAATGCGCGATTTTTTACCCTTGATAGTGTCCTTGCGAAAACTGACATTTTGTCAAATTGTCTATGAAAAAAACTGCCATAAAAAAAAATTTCGAAGCTGAAAAAACTAACAAGTGGAAACTGAAATATGTACTTACATTGTGATGAATGTCAAATTGTTCAAAACAAAAAAAACTGACAAAAGTATTTCAGATAAAAACTAACAAAGTGACTTCAAAAAACTGACAGCAATTTGTTTTAAAATATGTTAAAAAAAAAAACTGACATTGAAAAATTAAAACTGATAAAAGTGTTTCAGATGAAAAATGACAAGGTGACACAAAAAAACTGACATAATTTGTTTTAAAATATGTAGTATGAAATTGTCGAAAAAAAAACTGACATTGAAAAATTAATACTGACAAAAATATTTCGAATGAAAACTGGCAAAGTGACTCAAAAAAACTGACAGTGATAAATTGTCAAAGTTGCAAAAAAAAATTGACAGTGATAAATTGTTTAAAAAAAAACTGATATTGAAACATTTTCAAAATTAGAAAAAATTGACAAGTGAAAATTGAAATAATGTTCAGGGCCCGGATTCTATTCTGCGAATCGAATCGAATTGAAAAAAAAAAAATGACAAAGTATAAAATTGTTTAAAAAAAAACTGACATTGAAAAAATTAAAACTAACAAAAATGTTTCAAATGAAAACTGGCAAAGTGACTCAAAAAAACTGACATTGAAAAATTTTCAAAATTAAAAAAAATTGACAAATGATGAGTGAAAATTGAGATATTGTCAAGATTATTAAAAAAAAACTGACGTTGAAAAATTGTCAAAGTAAAAAAAAAAAACTGACATTGAAAAAATTTCAAAATTGGCAATAAATTGACAGTGTCCCTGTGAAAATTCACTTTGTCTCAAATTGTCCTGAAAAAAACTGACAACATTGAAGAATTTTCAAAAATAAAAAAAATAGCTGTGAAAATTGACAAACTATTTGGAAAAAAAAACTGACAGTGATAATTTTGTTTTAAAAAAAATCACAAGGAAATTGTCAAAATTAAAACAAAAACTGTGAAAATCGACATAATGTCAAATTGTCTAGAAAAAAACTGATTTAGAATTTTTTTTTGTGACATTGTCTCAAATTTTCTGAGATTGGAAAAAGAATTTTCGAAAAAAAACTGTGAAAATTGGCATAGTGTCAAATTGTCCAAAAAAACAAACTTACATTGGAAAATTTTCAAATTAAGAAAAAAAAACTAAACTGGAAAATTTAAAAAAATAAAAAAAAATGTAAAAATTGACAAATTATCTAAAAAAGAAAACTGACAAGTGATAAATTGTTTTGAATAAAAACTGACGAAGTGTCCTTGTGAAAATTGATACTAGCATTGTGTCAGATTGTTGAAAAAAAAATTGACATCGAAATATTAAAAAACAAAAAT